GCCCGCACCCTTTTTTGACTTGCCTGAAGGCATCAAGCCGCTGCGGGCTGCCAGCCCGCAGACGAAACTAACTGTTTCGGCACATGAGGCCAGTGCGGGCTGCCATCCCGCACCCTTTTTTGACCTGCCTGAAGGCATCAAGCCGCTGCGGGCTGCCAGCCCGCAGATCAAACGAACTGTTTCGGCACATGAGGCCATTGCGGGCTGCCAGCCCGCACCCCACATTGACCTGCCTGAAGGGTTCCATCTCCCTGACGTGCTGTCGTCTTGCTGTCTGAGTTTGCAGTGGCTTTTAGCATCGGAACGTTCTTGAAGGTTCTTCAAGTAACTTGAGCGCAAAGTGCTGGTCTGCGAGGAAACAGTCAACCACAGTCAAGCTTATACATGTTGTAACAGTCGTCGGATAATGTGGCAAGCTGAATCTTACATGCTTGGCATTAGCAGAGCGGACACGTGGTCACACAGGATGCAAAACCCCCCAGATGGGCATGAGCCGGCCTTTTTGTTACTTTGTCGCTTCAGCTGCGCATTGTGCGAAACTGCTTCTCGAAGGCGGCATGTGACTCGCATCCTTCACGGTCCCAGTTTTGGTGGTGCTCATGCCATGCTGCTCACCTACCTGCCAGATCCCGAGCAGACTGTCGAAGTCGCAAGTTCTTGTGCCGCAACGCATGCCGAAAGTTTGGTCAGGATTTCCGGGGTGCAGACTGCGGTCCACACGTTGTGCCCTTCTGGCTTGAGCCAGAACTGCTGCTTAGGTTTGAGCAGCTAACGGCACCTCGCCAAGCGGATGAAGGTGCTCAGCAGATCAGACTGTTGAGGGAGGTTCCTCTTTGAACTGGAGCACCTACTTATTTCATGTCCGGTGCAACTGCCCTTGCCTGTGCAGGTCTTGATTCGTTCTGGGGCGCGGTTTGGCAGCGGCCTGGCTTCACCACTTGGATCCTTTCGAGAAGAGGAGAGCATTAGCTGACAAAACACTTGGATACGAACCGGGCTTGAATGAAGTGCAACGTGCAATGCCTAATGATTTATTGGGGATGGTGAATGGTGAGTGCTGTCGCCTGCCAGCAAGAACACGGATGAACTGCTCTCGCTACTCGGTTCCAGGTCGCCTTATTTGTGGTAGCAAGCCGTAGAAGAGTTTCGGGCACTGGCGCGGGTACATGTGTGAAGGTTCTGGCTCCACTGCGGGCCAGTCCTTCTGCATTGGGCAGATGGCATGTTGAATTTCAAGGCGCCCGTCATAGGGGTGTGTCGACATGTTCACGACGTTTTCCTGCTGATTCTTGGCCATCTAGTTTAGCAAACTGCAGTATTTCAACAGAGACCCCAAGCTGGCAAGCCCTCGCCGCAGGAGCTGCAGGCTGCCTACTCTCCACCGATGACAGGTGCCAGCGAGCCCTTCATTTCTAATAGACGGCCAAACTGCTGGGTTGCATCCCTTGTAAATTCTCGCAACCAGAATAAGTTTTGTTCGTCTCATTGTCCGCAGCTCGCGTGTTCTCGTACTGGTTCGGCTTATGTCTCGCCTAGCGTTTTGTCAAAAGATCTGGTGACCCTCGATCCTGACTCTCAGACCAGGAAAGCGTATTCGCTGAGCTTTCAGGGTTTGGGCTGTGGGCTCAAGGCCCATGTCAAAGAGACTCCGAGTCTAGCTCTTGCCGGATTGTTTCCGCGTCCGGTGGCCAACGTCAGGTCATGGTGTTTTTGTGGGTGTTCGTGTACCGGCTGCAGTATTTGGCATTGGCCACCTTCTGGAGAGGAGCAATCTACTAAGCAACAACTTCGTGCTACGATGTGCGTTTCGATGATACTCAGTCACTAGTCACTCGTCTATGTGTTCGAGTCATAGACTGAGGCAACACACTGCAGAGGTATGGGAGTGGACGTATGGCATCTTATGGCTAGAGATCTGCGATTCGAGACACTGTCAAGACATGCTGCCGTCCGAAACCTGTCCGCACGAGATGGAGGAATGCTGCAGTGCCACAGGGAATCACTTGAAACAAAAGCATGCAGCCGGAATCGGCTGATTCAACAAGAGTCAACTTCGGGGCTTCCTAAGCTTGCGTTGCGCATCCGAAAAGTATTCAGCGGTCCCGTCGCCACAGGCCAACAACCTTCACAGATCGCTTCTGCTCGCACGCCTCGTCTTGAAGCTTGTGACTAACACGAAGTCCCGATTGCAGGTGGCACAACGTCGATTTGGGATGCTGGAGGCCCCACCCCAGGGTAGACGGGCGCACGCTCAGACTGGAGGTGCTGCCATCCTTCACACCTTGGGACTTCCAGCGGCAAGTCATTCAACTCTCAAAAAGTGGCACGCTGGAGAGGGCTGGTCCCAGCGATGCGCTTTGCCTCGTCGCGCAGCTTGCTGCGTGCCTGGTGGCGTGCTGATCATGTTGAAGATGCAAGCGCATGATCCTGCAAGTCGATCATCGGCAACGTCCAAACAAGGTCTGCAGCTGCAGGCTACTTCATGCTCGAATGTGCCTGGAGTGCTACTACGCAGGTGTCGCCACGCGCATCTCGTCATTGATATCTCAAGCATGACCAAAACTCGCAGTCGCCTGCCCAGCGATGCTTGCTGCCGAGCCGAAGGAATTCGGAGTGCACAAGCTCTTGGAGGTGTCCAGCATGGAGGAGGCTCCCAGCCCAGTTGTGTAAAACGTAGGAGTCTCCCAGAAAAGATGTGTCAAATTACACAAGCTAAGGCCACGCAGTTGTAGGCTCCTCTTCGGTGGCACCAGAACCTCTTCCCTAAAAGTACTCGCACTTGAGGTGCTTCGATTGGCGGCTTCCCTCGTTGCATATTCAGTGTTTTGGCAGCACCACATGTCACGTCAGTTCCATCAATCGAGTGGGGAGGTCGGGAGATGCACAAATGTAAACGCTGTTGAGAGAGGAAGTGGCTCTCGAAACCATGCGTCAGCACGCTTGGCGAGCCTGTGCGGCAGAGAGATTCCCAGTCTTGCACCGAGGTTTTCACACATCGGCTGTTTACAGTTCCAGAAGCACCTGCCATCAGCAAGCAGCAAAAGAACACATGAGTTGCTCAGAGCGCGGTGCACAAGAATGCGTGCGCCATGTTCCTCGTCCTTGCTCGCAGCGAGCACTGGACACATCACCCCAGCATGCACAAGCCGTGCGGAGAGTCAAAGCAACCTCCTGATTGCGGCTCGCTCCGATTTCACCAGCCAGTCTCTGCGTCGGAGCAGAAAAGCGGGCTGTTTCGCTGCAGTAGGCGTGAGAACGGGAAGCGGTCCAAGAGAGACGAGACGAGCACAGGTTGCACGCATGCGAGACGGAGATTTGCTCACAGTAGCAGGGGCCCGAGGTGCCTTGAGCAGTGGGCCTTCGTTGATCAGTTAGACAACTGCTTCTCTTTGGGTGCCGCAGCATCACCGGATCCGCATGTTGACCGATCTTGTGTGTGAGGTTCTAGCGACTGACTTTGGGCATCTTTGTGGAGCGGTGAGCTTGGAGGGCCGGCAATCATCGTTCACTTGTATTGTAGCTAGAGCTCCAGCACCTGCGTCGGAAGATAGGGCACTTATCATGGCAGCCGCAAGAAAAATGACGAGCAGCGGCTATCGTGTCCCTCGTACCTTGCGCAAAGCCTTGTGAGGTCGTGGTTTCTGGGAGTCCGCTGCAGCGCACCTGGGCTCTTTCTCTCGATTCCCCAGAGGCAAGGGAGTGGAGGAGAGCAACTCCAAGGAGGACCGCATGCCCAAAGCTTCCGCATCCGCAGGTAGACGAATCCGAAGCCAACCCATCTGCGCCGCTCAGGCATGTGGATTCTGTTGCATTGTTCGAACACTGTGTGTCGTCTCTCTGTGCGGTTTTTTGATTTCGTGATTGATGATCCCCGGGCATGCCGCCACATCTCCCAGACATGAACTTGAATACAACTATCGGAGACTGACAGGAGAGAGGTTGAGCTCCGCTGTGGCGTTTTCGTGCAGCGGCTGAACTTGGTCAACATCGGCCACGAGGCGAAGCGTGCATCGTGTGAGGTCTTTTCTTGTGACCGACGTTTGAAGTAACCGAGGTGATCAAGCACGAGCCATGCATGCCATGCCCACTTCAGTCTCACAATGTGCCACGCTTGTCAGGTCGACTCGGCGGAGGAGCAGCCGCAAGCTGAAAAGCTTTGCCATGGCTCGCATGCGCTGGCGCTACTGGATGCTTGATCAGTTTCGGCATGGCTCATCAGTCCCTGAATTTCGGAGGAGCGCAACTCCTGCACGACTCAGGCCAGCATTTGGGGCGAGATGTCTCGCCTTGTCCAGCGATGGCAAAGCTTCATACTGCGTGCGGGCCTAAGGACAACTGAAACATGTCAGATCTCACTGTCCGCCTCCCCGCCGGCCTAGGCAGTTTCTCCTGACGGAACCCGCAGCGTGCGGATCTTATTTATGTATATATATATATATATATGTATATATATATATATACATCGACATGGCAATAGCATCAGCGACCTTTTGTTGCCGACCTGCTGGATTCCGTAGATTTCATTGGGCGGACTCAATGAGACTTCCGGACCAGGTGGAAGCGTCCGGGAAGTGGGAAGTCATCAATGGTCAGGCGTTCTCGGCATGGTCTTGAACGTCGCCCTATTATTTGGCTCTGCGTTTGGACAAGTTTGGACAGTAATGGGCAGGTGGTCCTGCTCGGGCAAGAGCTTGCTGGACCATCTGTAAGCCATCTGCAGCTGCCAGCTTGGAAGCACCACCTTGGGGCTTGTTTGTGCTTGCGTCAGAAGGCAATGTGTGCAATCTTGGCTTCCGGCTGCGACTTGCAAAGGCTGAGCAAGTCCAACACGCACTTGCTGGGCGGCTGTGCGTATGAAGAGCCGGTGCATGATCACGCCTCAGCCACCCTCAGTCTGTCCAGCCTTCACAAAGTCTTTGCGTGTTTGTTCCTGCCTTTTCGTGCCTTGAAGCCTTTAACACCGGAAAGGGCTTGGCTCTCCTGACTCACAGGTGTCTTTGGAAGAGCTGGAGGCATTTTTCGACAAGCCGGTTGCATTCTCTGCACAGGCCTCAGCATCATCTCTTATATACAAAAGACCGGGATGGTCGTTGAGACTGTGATGCTGAACAGCGGTGTGGGGGCACTGCATCGTCTGCAGTGTTTGCTTCTCGGCTTGGACTTATATAAGGAGTGCATTCCAAGAGGCGGGCATCTGCTCCGCTTGCAGCTTCTGGAGGAGGCCAAACAAGAGTTGCAACAATCCACAGTTTACCAGAGAAGCAAGTGCATGTTCGTTTCTGCATGCGCCAGTGTGGTTAGTGTCCACGTGCCACTGCAGGGGCTTTCCGTGAGCGGCTGCCCGAGCGAACACATCGCTGGAGCGACAGAAGAGCGACAGTATGAGCAAATCTCTCAGGCGCACCACCTCCAGGAGGCCTTGTGTCTGTTGTATGCCATGGGCCATGGACAGACGGAAAGTGTCATGTCGCCCTCAGCATTGAGCAGTCTTATGCAGCTCCTTAAGCTTGTGACCTCTCTCCCTGCTGAGCATGGGAGGGCTGATCGGTGCCGAGGCGTTGAGTCCTAGTCATGTAATCCGCACCCCGTAGCATTCGCATTCCAGTCCATTTCTGACTGGGATTCGGTGGCTTCTCGAGGTGCAGCAAGCGAGGCTGCAGCGTGGGTCCTCAGCAGCGAACGCTCAACCAGGAACATACATGGCTAGAGCCTGTAACTTCTCAACTCTGCCTTGGATTGGTATTGAAACGTACCGGACCGTCCTCCAAAGAATGAAGCGCCTCTAAGCCGAGGTCCTGACGAGCGCGTTGGATTCCACGTTTAACACGGCTCCTCTCTGAGACCGAGAACTGTCGTGCATTCGTTGGGGCATGCAGGGAGACGAGCTGAAATTTGTGCGGTGTTGGATATGTTGGGTCATCCCCTGATCCTGAAGAGTGCGTGATGTCAGGCTTGGGACACAGCAGGCGCTGCGCTTAAAACGAGCTTGAAGCAAAGCTGCACACGGCTAAAAGCAGCCTGTACTCTCTACCAAAGAGAGCCCCCCTCTCTTTCTTTCGGAATCCGTCAACCCTTGGAGCTGTGGGGGCTCGGTGAGTGTCTTCCAGGCCCTGCCTCGATGGAAGCTCCGAAACAAAGTGCCCGGCAGAACGCTCAGAGGGTCCCCACTCGCGGCCGTGAGGTGTTTGGAACCAACACATGCGTCGACATGCGTGGCTGAAAAGATTGTGAGGTCTGACCAAGCCACAGATGAGCGCCGGCATCCCAGACCAACATTGCTGAACACCCCCCCCC